GGGAAGAAACAAAACAAGTGTGTCTCTCTCTATTTTATTTTAGCTCACCTGAATGTGTGTTGACTATCAGTCATAAAAAATACATGGCCTTTGCTTTTTACAAAGAGAAAATAAACCAGTAAGCAGAGGAGCCCTGGCTTTTTACAAAACAAAAAATGAAGGAGAAGGGTGAACCAACCTGTGGTTGGATGGTTAGAGAGACTATGGTATCCCCAGCCCACCAGGGTTCAAATCCTAATGCTCGTATTTATTCCTAGATTTATTTCAGGATTTCCGGCAATGCGCATTCAGTGGGGAGGAGACGTTCCCGTCAACGGCGAGGCGCCTATGGTGACTTCGTAAATCTCAAGATGATATGCCGGCTCAGTCTTTCGGAGGTGCTCATAGAGGTAGGATATGCGTGTGTGCATTTATAGGGTTGAATGTATGTGCATGTATATGAGCGCTTGTGTATGTACTGATGTTCAAAAAAATGAAAGAGGAGGTTGTGAGCGCTGAGCACACGTCCAAACGTGCAAATCTCGCCCACAGGGGCGGAGCCTCTTGGGACCATGCTGGGCCATGGCCCGGTCTTCCCAAAATGCAGAGCAGGATATGTATGCTGCCCAAAAAATAAATCATGTCGAACCAATGTATCCATTCCGTCACACTATTTTACCAGCGCTGCTATACACACAAGGCGTGTTTGGTTGCCCGCATCGAGCCCAACCAGGCCCGCGCGGGATGAGTGTGGGCTGTTTGGTTGCCTAGTTTTACTATTAGGCCTGCATAGCACAATATTTAAATCAGCTCTGGGCCTGCCTCGTTGGAAACGCACGAATCGGCAGTTTCTCCAGGGCCAGGCCCGAGCGGTGCATGTGGGCGGGCGCGGCTGCACGCGCGTGGCCACCCTTAAGAAGCCGCGTTGCTTCCCGAAGCACCGGCAGTTATTAGCCCCACCGCCCCTCACCGCTCCCTCTCCCCACTCTTCCCCACTCTCCCAACTCTCACCGGCGGCGGCGGATCGGAGCAGAGGAAGAAGACCACCGGACTCCATCACCGGCGGGGCGGATCGGAGCAGAGGTAGAGGACCGGACTCCATCAATGGCGGTAAGCACTTCTCTCTCTTCGACATGCACGCTAGATTCGATCCACGGCGGAGGGGAATGGGGAATAGAGGTAGATAAGCATAGGGGTACTTCATACTAGTTCTTAGCAGTTCATACGAGTTCATACATGCAAGATCGGAATGCATAAGGTAGATTTCGGGATTTGGGGATAGGGGAATAGGGGGTACACAACGGACACCGGCTGACCGCGGCGGCCGTCACCGGCGTGCGGAGCGGCTGGTCGAGCCGCTGGCCTTCATCTTCTTCTTCATCGCCGTGCAGGCCTGCGGGTCGTCCTCGGCGGAGTCGAGGTCGATCTGCCAGGTAGGATGGACTGGCTCCAGCGCCCTAGCTGGCATGTGCACCGCCTCTTCTTCCTCCTCCTTAGGCTCCCCGCCGATGACCACCGGCGGCGCCATAACCGTCTTCGAGTACACTGCGGCAAGGCGGTCATTAGGAGCCCAGTAGGTCTTATACTTGCGCCACTTCTTCCTCCGTTTAGGGTCGTCGGAGACGGCCTGATTCATGGCCCAGCGAATGATGTCAACTGCCATCACGCCCTTCGCTGGGTCAAGAATCAGCGTCTTCAGCTCTTCTTTAGTGGCCTTCATGACCATGGCATTCGATTCGTTCTGCATGTCAGCCATGGAGCCGAAGTTCGAGCACACCTCCATGGTGTTCTCGAACTTGGTCCAGTCACCAGCCGTCCACCCGAGGAAGAAGGCCCTCCAGCCAATACCCCAAGGGAAGGGGTTGGCATTGGAGCTGGAGCTAGAGCTCATGGCGATGGGGAGGAGGAAGGTTGACAATGAGAGAAGAGAGGGGGTGGGTAAATAGTGGTGGGCAGGGTGAGTAAATATAGGTGGGATGGAGAGGAGGAGAACAGTGACAGTCATGCCATTTTAGCTACAAGCTCTTGAATTAGCCATGAACTCTGTGCAATGCCTGACTCCATGACTTGTGTGCAGATCGAGGACACGGAGGTGCTCCCGACCGTTGACAGCAAGGGCAAGCAGCCCCTTCACCCAATGCCCGACGAGGTTGAGCTGCCGCCCACCGCCGAGGAAGACCTGAAGACGCCTGAGGGTGGCGACAACGAGGGCATGGAGGAGCCCCCCAGCAACAAGCACCGCAACTACGACCACTACCATCAGGAGGATGGCCCAACTCACTTCTGCAGGGTCATCCTTGCACCGAAGCTTGAGTGCATCCCCATGGCCCTGGACTTCACCAAGCACTTCGTCGCGGTGCCGATGGAGTTCAAGCTCAGGAATAACACCGGCTGCTCCTGGAAGGTGACGGTCAAGCTGATGAACAACAGGGTGACCCTGAATCAGGGTTGGGCCACCTACGCAGCCGTTCATCAGATCAAGATCGGCTACATGGTCACGTTCAAGCTCCTCACTCCCGACACCCTCAAGGTCATCATCTTCGACGACGATGGCATTGAGGTCGTCAACAAGTGCGGGAAGCACGACGACGCCTTCGCCGCCAAGGAGTAGGGCCGGGCCACCTCTTTCGAGTGTACTATCGAATTATGCTAGTTGATGGTTTATGCGTTGAACTGTTATATCTGTGGTACTGCTTATATCTGAATTATGCTAGTTGATACTCTGTTTATAGTCTGTTGTGCTTATGATGTGTGTTGTCGAAGTGTGGTGGTAACCTCACCAACTAGCCAAAGAGGTTACCACACATCAGGCCTTGCATACAACCAAACACCATGTCTTGGGTTTGTGGACTAATATGCAGGCAACCAAACACCAGGCAGTGTGGTTCAGCCCATGCAGGTAAGAGGGCATGCAGGCAACCAAACAACATGCATATGGTGCATTTGAGGCTGCATTTGCATAGCCAGGCTGAGTAGATAAGTGTATGCGATGCAGGCACTGTTGCACACGGCAACCAAACACGCCCACAATGGTCTGAGGACGATTCGTGAACGACAACCCAGATCAGCTCGTCCATGCAGAATACTAGAGTGAAATAGATGGCTGGATTTGGCTGTCGTTCCCTTGTCGTGCATGGAGTTCCGTCTGCATAGTAGTTTCACTGTTTTATTTGGTCCAGGTCTACGAGTCGGCTACCAGTTTTGCTAGAGAGCAATTAGCTGGAGGTTATCCCTTACGAGGGACCTTCAGAGGCAGTGGCGAATTTAGAAAAAAATGAAGGGTGGGCTGGGCTGCCTGGGTCATGCAAATATGTGTTGGATTGGACTTGCAAGTAGCTGGACTGGGCCTTAAAATTAGTAGTAGAAACAAATTTTACGGTGCTGGAGGGGGGGGGGGTTTGAGCCTGTTAAAGCCCCCCCAGTAGAATCGCCCCTGTTCAGAGGTCACTTTTGGTGTCTTGGGAGTATGTCAAGTGATGTGTCCCGCTGCCGTCACATGTCTCGTGCCAGTTGTTTTGTTTGGATTTTTTGAATAATTGCACATGTTTCCGTGTTTACGATGAGTTTTTTTTTTCTTTTTTTGGTTTTTGACTGGTTTTCCCTAGGTTTCCGAGGAAAAAAACAAGAATAATTTTTTTTTGTGGAAAAAATAATTGTGCTTCCATGAGAAGCGAAGATTTGCTTCTTAAGGAAACATAGATTTGCTACTCAAAAATGGAAACACTTTGTGCTTCCACGAGAAACACATATTTGATTCTCGCGGAGGCATAGATTTGCTTTCGTGAGATGTGCTTCTCAAAAAAAAAGAAAAATATGTGCCTACAGGAGAAGCACATATTTGCTTCCCGTGTCTGTGCTTCTTGAAAAAAAATGTGCTTTCACAAGAGGCTTAGATTTGCTTATCATGAAAGCACATATTTAAAAAGAGAAAAAAATTAAAGCACGTTTTTACTTCTCGTGGAGGCATCGGTTACTTCCGCATGAAGCATAGTCATGCTTCCGAGAAAGGAAAAAAAATGTGCTTCCACAAGAATCATAGATTTGCTTCTGGTGGAGGCACGGATTTGGTAGAGGAAAATAAGTGAAGAAAAATCATACTTTTGGCTGTGGGTTTTTCCTTTCATTTTTGTCATTTTATTGAAAAAATGATTCTAGGAAAAAAATAAGGAAAGCTTCTAGGTTACGACAAATGGTGCACATAGAGTACACTATTTGTCAGTGACTGAGAAGGTAGGAGTGATCTTTACAAGAGCTAACCCTTAACTTTTACTAGTGGTTGGGGCGCCCCTCGCGGCGCCTCCTGAGCGGAAACTCTGCGGTGCCAGGTAGGTCACCGCACTTTTCAGATCTTTTTTATGCCCTGGACGCGCATGTGAATGCAAGCATTGCTCATGGAATTATAACAGAAATCCCTTGGTGCTGACCAGAGCCTGCCCTGGCGCACATGTGACAGGATCAATAGGTTGGAAAAAATAAGACACAGCAGCAGCACATATTCATAAAATAGATCAAAGCTACAAGCACGCAAATATAGGAGAATCATACTCCCTCCGTTTCAAATGTCTAAAGGCCATGAAAAAGCTCTGCTGGGTCCTGGAGTGAGTAAGACGTGCTGCTCTCCTTGAGGCACTTGGCCACCAGGATCCTGTCGATGCGGTCGTCGCCAATATACACCGGCAGACGTCATCGCTTCAGTTGGGTATATACTGGAGAGGCACAACAACAGGCAGAATGTCATTGCCATAATTATTTACGACAGATTTTTACGACAGTGGTCTGAGACGCAAGTGAATACTCCCTCCGTTCCAAAATAGATGACCCAACTTTATTTATACTAAAGTTAGTATAAAGTTGGGTCATCTATTTTGGAACGGAGGGAGTATATATGAATGTTGCCTGCGTACCTAACGATTCATTCAGAAAATCCAGAGCCTTGCCCTTGTCCCATGTAATGTTTGTTCTTTGGTTATCAGCAAGAAACCCAACAACTCCATTCCAATTGGATATTACCGTTGATAGTATTAATATATCATCCTCTTCTCCTTGAAAACCATCAATAGACTTGATGCGCACATGAAAGCCATCACATGTGTTGTATTTTTTATCAAGTCTATCTTTAATAGCATCAAATTGAGACTATAGGAAGAGACCACACCGATGCTAAGCGCTTTGCCTGTACTTTTCCAACCTGCAGAAAAATTTAAACTGCTAAGTCTATACTGATCTTTTGGGGTCAATTCTCCACAAGGCTAGCAAGAGAACTTTCTTTAGCAAACTGAAGTTGATTTTGTATCAGCTTACAATTAACACAACATTATTTTCAGCTCTGAAGGTAAAAACAAACACTATCAAAAAGTGAGTACATGTAGTGGCCAACAACTCTCATAGAGCTATGTTTCATCTTTCATGTCATCTACTTAATGTTCACAGTTTTGCAAATAAAAATGTAACATTATCTATTAAACAAGGAAGTAGATGACAGTGGACTTGCTGACAAATAGGGAACTGAATTTTCATAAACCCAGATTGACGGAATTAAAAAACACAAGGTATACAGAGGTAACAAACTGGATTGTTGAACATAAAGTATTGCGCGATCACTTTTTTTATCAACGAAGATTATGCAACATTAAAATACAAGAAAGGAGGACACTATAAGCTTCTAAAGATGCCATGTTATATCAGCGAAGTCGCTTAATATAAAAACAAATCAATAACTACCAAGGACATCGAGGCAGGATATACTAAGGATGCAAGAAAAGAGAGGGCTCAGCTTAGACATACATCTAAAGATGGTTTGGATGAGGTGCAGAACAACAGCAACTTCAACCATGTTTCGTCGACTGTTTCCTGTGCCCTCCTTGTCTTCCCTCCCGTCCGTGACATTCATAAGAGTGTAGCTGCCATACAGGAGGCATGTATAATCCTTGTCATAGCTAGGAGACAGGATATTTGAACCATGTAAAATCTTCCTGTCATAAAACTGAGCATTTGGAAAGAGGCTAATACAAGGAATCATGCAATACTGTATATTCAGCAAATGTTTATCAAATTTCAGTCTATCTCGCTTTTGTACCTAGAGGACAAAGTCATGGCCGAGGCCGAGGGTGTGCATCTTCATTCCCTTCGCCAGGCCCTGCAGACGGAAGGGTTGGATCGAACAAACAACACACACGAATCAGCTGCGGTTGTAGTACGCCCACTAGTTGTCCTCGCACATCCTCCTTTCTTCTCAGCCCCACGTTGCCGGCACCCAAATCCTTCCTATCCGCTCCCAGGTAGGAGAACAATGGCTCTGTAGGTTTGTAGGAGCTTCAGCAAGTGAATGAAACAATAAGAATTTTAAAAAATAGGCGTGCAAATTATAGTAGATAAAACAGAGCAACCCAACATTGTTGTATTTATGGATTTAGATCTGTCGGAGCACGGAGCAAGCATATAGAAAAAACAAGAACAGCAGCTGAGTTGTGTTGTTTGATACATGTGAATTATCGAATTTGATCATTTCATGGCACTGAAAATATTTAAAAAAATACCAGCTAGAGACCTGACTATAGAGAAATGAAGCTCACTTTGAAAGAATACTCATGCCTGATCATTGTAGAAAGAATAACAAAATACGAATACAGTGATAATAGCACTCATTTCATGTGATAAAAGGAAAAAAGAGAAGCTTCCCTGATTTTCATGGCTACATCACTAACTTTCAGGATTTGAACCTCAACCTGTTCTAGAAAGCCCACATCCCGGTTTCTATTACACGATTCGCAAATCCAAATACTTTCTTTGGTATGTATGCAGTACATTTTACAGATCACACGACTACTCCACAATCTAAAACAGAGAAACATCTCATAACTCATAAGTACAAAGTAGATGAACCAAGAGCAACCTATATATCATTCCTGTGAGAAATAACTAAGCAGGGATTTATCGGAAGAAACAATAAATGACAGCTGATAAGAGTGCTGCCTTTCAATTTCTTTGGCAAATGCTTTCCAGAAAGAAATAAGAAAAGGCTATATTTATTGTGCCCTACATAGCTCAATTAACAGAATCAATATAGATCAAATTCGTTTGGCCGTTTCATCCAAGTTTCAAACTAAATTAATTTAGACAACACAGAAGCTAATACCTGTGTATGAGTAGCAGCTCATATCTCTGAATGCTCTTGCAACGGTTAGCTGCCCATCAACTGATGGCACATCTTCTGCAAATGATACATGTTTGGAATTGAATTAAATTAATTGTACAAACATGGCAAGACTGGAGTTATGTCTATTACCACCAAGTAATAAAGTGCCATTACAATATTCTCCTATGAGCGATGTAGAAGGAATGATGATGTGGGGTAGAATATATAGTCATGACATATTAATTCAGATCAGACAAAAGAGGAAACATCAAAGAAAATCAAAGAGAGCTGTAATGTTCATTCCTTGCTGCTGTTTAAATAACCTGATAGAACTAATCAATCTTTGTAATGGCTGTAACCAACAACTATTGCTATAGTAAATCAAGACTAATTTTTAACAGCCACTAATTTCCAGTATAGATTAACAATCTTAGTAATCCAAAGTAACATCACACAAACCCATATATGTGGAATAATATAGCAACCTATTGATCTGCTTATCCGCGCTCACCCTTCGTTCTGATTATATGTACTTACAACAACAGCTTAGTTGCTTCCACTAATCAAAGTGATTGATTAATGTAATGTTGGCACAAAAAATGCACTAAAGAGTTATCAAGTAATACATTGAGATTCGCTTCAACTGTTGACCTTCTCAACTTACTGACTTGCCTCATCATCCTATTATGCCAGACATAGTAGAGTTAGATAAAAAATTGATGCAAGGAGAGTGCAAAAGCTCTGGCACAAACACATATCAGTATATCACCGACCATCGGCTGCAGCTCGTCCATCAACTTTTGTTTATAATTTTTTAAGTTGTTTCACGGCAGGAGCAACCTTCATTTTCTTAATAGTACTAACTAACAAGGTGTAGAGACACATTAATCTGTTCAATCACCGGTTGGTAGAGAAAGAGGGATCCAAGTACTGCAGAGAGGAAAAGTGTGAGCGCACCTGAGGGGGTGAAGATCCAGTCGATGGTGGCCGCGCCGGTGATTACAAACAGGAGATGGAAGATCGGCGCCCTTGCCCTCGCTCGGTAGCCGATCCCCATCGCTACCTCCTCGCAGCCTCCACGAACAACACGAGACTCCTCCGCCGGAAGCCGCCTGCCGATTTAGCTGGATCAATACGCCGCCATCGGCGAGGGTGCGTACGGCCTCCGTCCCAGCTGCCGCGCCGATCCGAGCCAGCGTGGGAGGAAAGGGAAAGGTGGGGAAGGGAGGGGGGGAGGAGCTGGCGGACGGACGGACGGACGGACCTGCAGGGTGTGGGCCGGGAGCTGCCAGCCGTGCTTCCGCGCCATGGCGCCCTCTCCTCCGGTCGCCGGGTCGCCTCCCCGGCGGCGGCGGCAGGCCAGCTCCCCGCTGCTGTTGGGGTGGGCTGCGTGCTCTCCCGCTGGCGATGCTCATGCCGGCCGGTTACATGGGAGAGAGGCCGCGTGTGTGGGCTTCAAACCCGAGGGGTGTGGCGGCGGAGGCGGAAGGAGAGGGTTGGAAACGAGAAAGGTCAAACCCCGAGCCGTTTTCGCAGGGAAGGAAAGGATCCATCGCAAATTTAGCTAGGCAGGCGTTATCTGCGGGAGAGATATCCAGTGAAGCCGTTTGCTCTCGCGTGAGTGCGCGGTCCAGCGCCGACGTGGCTAGCGCGGGCGTTCGCCCTTGATGCGCAGTTGAATGTGTTTAATTTGAGAAGCTAATCCTTAACTAGTGACTTCGCTTTGCGGCGTGGGGTAAGCAAAATCGTGCTGTTTGGGCCGGTCCAGTGCGGGGCACATGCGCCCTGATTTTTTTTTCCTGTTGCTTCTTTTCTCATTTATGATAAATGTACATAAAATTGAAAAATGCTTGGAATTTTTAAAAATGGTCACCTGTTTGGAAATAATTTTCCTTAATTCAATTCTTTTTGGGGATTTCAAAAAATGATTGTGAATTTTAAGAAATGCCCAAAAACAATTATGAATTATGAAAAGACTAGATGATGCCCCGTGTGTTGCTGCTGCAACCTTGATAAAACATATGCGTAAACTGATGCTAGAAAAACTAAAACTATTGAAAAAAAATAAAAAATGCTCTCAAGATATATTTTGAAAACAATAAAGTATATGAAGCATAAAACAAAATGTTGTATAAAAGGAGAAATATATTTAATTGAAGTCAAATGGGATGCCATGTTAACAAAAATGTATAACATGACCTACCTATATTTGCTCCAAACGTACAACATATAAATATATTTAGGTCATGCTACAAAAATGTATAACATGGCCTTTTATGCCCGCACAAAAAAAGTGAATCAAATTGATATGCATGCTTGATGAGGTAGCATGATTGCATTAATAGATTAGTGCACAAATTGTAGCTTACGACCACATGCATGACTTGATGATGTCGCATGGTTGCGTGAAGGGAAAAATAGATAGTGGGTTGCAACTGTTTAAGAATAGAGGATTCATGGGTTTAAAAAAAGGTTATTTAAAAAAGCATTCATCAATTTGAAAATTGTTCCTGAATTTCAAAAAAGATTCCAAACATCAAATTGTTCTCAGATTTTAGAAAATCATTCAAAAATTTGAAAATATCCTCAGATCTCAAATACTATTCATGAATATCCTACTACTGAGTGTAGTTACTCCCACTTTTGTTCCATACGTTCTAGATAGTATCTATCATATTGAAGAGTATGTACGCATAGTAGTATATAAGAATGTTTAGGTAATATATATACTACTTTTTTTGATAGCATGTACCATATTTTGTACATACTCATTTCACGTACAAATGTGTACGTATTTCACAAATACAATAAAACTATGAGCTCACTTGCAATTTTTTCATATGACTCACTTTAGAGTATCTTAAATATAGTATATGAACATATTAAAAATAACAAAGTAGAGTATATAGTACCACATGGTAGTATATGAGAAATAGGTGTAACTACACCCAGTAGTAGTATCTTAAATATAGTTCAAGAATTTGGAAAATGTCGCCAAATTAAAAAAAATTCAAACATTCTCAGATTTCTAAAATCGGTACGATCTTCTAAAAATACAAAATTTTGATATGTTCCAATTTTCTAAAAATATAAGGATTTTGAAAAAAAAACATAAAATTTTAAATAGAATAAAAACAAGAAAAGGTAAAAAAAATCGAACAGAAAATGAACAAACAGAAAATCCTAAAATAAATCATAAACTAAACAAAACAAGAAACCAGTTGAAGAAGGTTCTAGAACCTTTCCAAAACTGATTGGATCACGGTAAATGTACCGACCAATTGTAGCAACGCCTTGTAGGACAGGGTGCGCCATTGGGTGGTATTCCTCGTGTAACACAAAGAATAGGATTTACATCGCCACCGCACCAACCGCCCACCGGATCTACGTCGCCTCGGTCACCTCCCGACCGGATCCGTTGTCGGCCGCCCACATTGCTTGCCCGTGTCGCCACTGCCCTCTGCTTCCTCCCGTGTCACCTTTCCCTGCACATCTGCATCAAGCGCTGGGGTGGAGCAACTTATGACTTATAATTTGGGGTGATTTATAAGTTGGATCCGTTTGGCAAAATAAGTCACCTTTTTCACTTTTCGACTTATAAGTTGGTGACTTATTTGAAATCAAACAGGGCTTAAAACAGGTCATCGACCAGTGAAGCATGAACCAGTTCTTGTTATGAATGGTGGAACTCCTTAATACCAAACAGACAAAGAGGTACATCTATCTATGAGGATACCATTCTTGCTATGAGACACATACCCAAACAATTTGCTGCAGAAATCATCATTCTTGGAAGCTGGAACAACCATCAATACGAGCATGGAGATATTATCTTAAACAAGACATGATTCTTCTCAAGCACGGGATAAAGAATAAGCATGCATACAATTTCTCACAGTGGATAGACAATAACTTATAAACTGATGATCTTTATGCCTAAAACAGGCACCGAGTAGTCTTTTTCTTGTTTCTTCAGACCCTTCTGGGGGTCTTTTTGTAAATTTGTATTATTATTATATTAATAGAAAAATACTGTAGAACTATTGTCCTGCGGTCAGGGTTTAAAAAAAAAGCGTGAACCGGTCCGGTCCATGTCAACCAGTCCAAGCCGCCTCCATCGTAATTCGATATGCCTTTCGGCTCAAGGCGAGCCTCACCTCAACTATGTGTTGAACTTTTTGACCCATGTGCACTAACATTTTCTTGCGCCTTAGGGGAATGATAACAGAACACCGTCGTCGTGTGTTAAATGGGCTCAGCCCGTAGTCTCTCTTTTACTTTGTGCGATGGGGATTTGTTCTAGGCAGTCCTCAGTTTTTTTTTTTTGCGAATAAGGCAGTCCTCAGTTGTTGTTTGGCTCATTTTTAGTTTCATCATGTTGTTGTTTGGAATATCTCCATGCTTTTATTATTTTCAGAAAAAACAATTAAACATGCATAAATCATGTAAATTCAATCGTTGCTCAGATCGCAAAGAATTCTACATGAAATTTGGTTAGAAAAATGTCTAGATCATGATTATGTTGTTTGCATCCATCTTTGACCTGCTAACATGGTGTTTTCATTTAATTTTCATTAGTTCTTTAAATAACTTGCCTAATGTTCATTTTAAGTACGAGTGGTGGGTCCTTGAGTCAGACCGCTTGTAGTCCGCCACGCCGAGGTTGTAGCATCTTCTCATGGTGGTTGCCCTCTCCTGCGAGCGGAGCGTGCAGATCGTCACCGACGGTGAGCCATCTGGTGGGGAAGGGCCGCGGCGAGTATATGCTGCCCTCGCCATAGCTGCATGTTGCGTGTTGTTGTGGCAGAGCACGAGCTGTGTGTGTCTGCGGCAAGAAGAGGCTGCTCTCACCGGAGCTGCAAGCTGCGCATGATTATTTTGCCATGGATTTGTGTCATTTGGAAAGAAGCACAAAAAAGAGGAAGATAGATTGTGTTTGGAACTTTGGGTAGAAAAATTGAGTGGAGGAGGACGTCCCGTGAAAAAGATAAGTTAAATGCCAGAGCAGTGCGTGGGCTATCAGCCGCGAGCCCACTGCGCGGGGCAATCGGCGCTGGCTTCGGCCGGTGGGCCGGTTGTTGAACCTTTCTATACATACCCTCCCAGAGCATTTATGTAGGGAATCGGCCAGCCATTATATTTTTCTTCTCGCTCGCACCGTGTATATTTGGATTGCTTACCATATGTGTCATGTAGTTGTTTACACCCAGTACATACTGCATGTGCAAGATTCAAGTGCCGCAGGTGTATCATGATTTTGGAAGCTTCTAGATGCTTTCCAGGCTGGTTTTCTTCTGTTTTCCTTCTAGTGTTTCTTTTCTCTTCTTCTTTTGTGAATTCTCTGTCAAATTCATGATTTTTTAAATCAATGAAATTTTTTTAGTCTTTATTTTTAAAAATCATGAACTTTTTCAACTCAATGATTTAAAAAAACTAATACTTTTCAAATTCATGGACTTGTACTAATGCATGAACTTTTTTTTTGAATTCGTGAACTTTTTCAAACGGATGAGATTTTCTAAAAAAAATGTGAAGTTATTCAAATTAATGAACATTTATTCAAATTCCTAAAAAAAATCTAATGCATGCTTTTTTGAATTAGTGAACTCATTATTTATTCACGAATTTCTTCAAATTCAATTTTTGAAAAGTCAACGGTCAGTGGTCAAAGCCAAAGAGACGATCCCGAGCGAAACAACAACTATCGAGCGAGCTGAACTATCGAGCTGTCCCAGGTGCTTGATGGACAGGCCCAACAGACCAGGCGCGTGAGCGCCCGCTGGCCAAGTGGCGCATAAGGCGTTGTATAGGACCTCCCAAAAAACGAGTCTCACGCTCGAACGCTCCCATGACGTCCTCCGAACCCGATCCCCACGACGCCAACAGAACCCTCGCGTGGCGAATACCTCATCGGAGGACCTCCGGCCTGGATCGGTGGGAACCGAGGGGCTCCGCCCCGCCAATCCCGGCGGGGGCTTACCTCGACAGCGTCTGCGCGGACCTGCTCGACGTGGGATTGCCGTCGGACATGGGCCATGATCTGCTGGAGGAGGAGAAGACGGAGTCCTGCGTCAAGAATGGCGGTGAGTATATCGTTCGTTCTGTATGCTACTTGATCGATTTGCGCCAACTAGTCAAGATCACGTACCAATTACTAGTACTCACTGCGCAGATTCACATCCGTGTCCAATTGGGCGTGACGACGTCTGTCTAGACGACATGTTCCATGATATCTTCGGGGACTGGCCGCTCACGGGCGATCCAATTCTGTGGGATGACATCCGCTCAGAGAACAGCGACGATTACGTTGTCCCGGAGTCCGATGAATGCGATAGGTTTGCAGACGTGAGAACAAATTGCCCAGGTAAATTTCTTTGGGGGACGCTAGGCAGCCGTTCGATCTAATGTCAACCTATGACTCAGACGCGTTCTTACAATTGCAACAACGACGGTGTTGCGGAAACTTTCGCATCAGATGACATGTTATGCAATAGATGTCATGTTATGAAAACTTTTGCAACAAAGCTCATGTTGCAGAAATTTTTCAACGGAGGTCCTGTTGCGGAATTATTTTTTCAAAACTTTTTTTTGCACAATTTTTTGCAACATAGATCCTGTTGCAGTACCTCATTGCAACACAACTTGTGTTGCAAAAGCACCTCAGGTGATAATTCGGCTGCTACGGCACCTCACAAGCCATTGGGTCCAACGAATTGAGTGAGCGTCATCTTTTATCACTGCAACACAGATCGTGTTGCGGGAAATTTGTGTAACATAGATTGTTTTGGCAGAATTTTTTGCAACGGAGACGATGTTACGGAAACACCGCCGCGGCCGTTGTTTTGCAACACCGCTGTGGCCGCCGTTGGTGCGAAAGCTCGCGGCACCTGGCATCCCGCATGGGGTGCTAAAAGGGGCGATGTGCGCAGCCGTGACCACAGTTGAGAAAGAAAGAGACTATGGCTGGCTTGCAGTAGCGGCAGCTTGCCCCGTAGCAATTAGAGCGGCAGCAAGGTACGGTAAAGCAACAGGCACGGTGGCGAGGCTACATAATTGCAGCGCCATGACTGAGTGCTCGAGGGAGAAGCGGTGGAGAATTGTGGACGTTGACTCACAAAATGATAGGGATGCTCTAGTTGGAGCTGGATACTATAGGTGGAACCAGAGGAGCACAAGACCGTTCGATCCACGTATGATCCGACGGTTGTGAGCCAGGCGGATGCATTGGTTGGATCAGCCGGTTGGAGGGAAGCTTTTTCCAGTTTGTTTTCCCACTACTACCAAAATTATAACAACATAAACTCATTAGCAGTACAGTTAATTGACTGCACGTCGACGCTACAAATTCTTCAGGGAGAAACATTCCCAGGCAGCAAGCAAAGAAAATAGACAACGCATGGCTAAGGAGCATCGCGGAACAGAACGAAAAATACGACGCGCGGTGCCAGGAGATTCTGCGCCAGAACGAGGATGCCGATCTCCCTCCTGTTCCACTAGATGTGTTCCCTGAGGCAACAGGTTTATGCGTGGAAAGGGGTTCCTACTACCACATTGAATACATGACCCATGACACTTCCACCAGTAAGGCTGAGTCCAAGTTTGTATTTATCTCAACTTATCCACACTTGATGTATGTATTTCGTTTACCAACTTACTCTTGTTCTCTACATTTGCAGCTAATTCGGATCTCGGATATAGCGGACCGGAACTGATGCTACAGATATTTTCTCTGCGTTTATCAAGCTTCTCTGCATCCTATTCTTGCCCCATCAGTGTGTATGGAGTATTCGCTGTTCGGGATGTACTGGAGCCTCTGCGGAACCATGTCTTCAACCGTTCCAGAGATGATCCTGTCACTGTTGACCAGGTAATTAAGGCTTATTTGTTTTCAAAATGGAACAATTATGTTCCAGGCTCTTAGTGCCTATTTGGCTTGCAGTAATTCTAAAAACACGGGAATATGAAGAACATACCATCGATATGTCATAGTATATTGAATCGAAAACAAAGAATCTGTAAACAAAGAATCTGTAATAGAAGCTGTTTGGTTACGCCACATGAAAAACACAGGAATTTTTCATAAGGTTGGAGTCAATGTAAATTTTCCTATATACCCTGCGCAAGCGAGAGCTACATGCACCGGGCTGCCCTTTTCATTGCATGCAAAATAGGCCATAGGAAAAGTCCCTATGATTACTCCCACAAACCAAAAATGCTACATAGGAAAAAGTTCATAAGGACTGGAATCCTTCAAAATTTTCTATGAAATTCCTATGAACCAAGCAGGCTCGTGTGCATGCTAGGATCCATTAAAAGTTTTCTCTATGGTCAGGTCCATGCATTCAGTCCTGTGTTTTCAAGGGTCACCCCATTATATTCATATATGTTGTTAGGCATTCCTAGATCAGATGGACATGCTATTAGGTCCTCAAAAATTTATCTGACTGTAGCATTAACAAAATACAAAGTTTACTTTTATCAGTATGCAAGCATAATGCATTTTTTCCGCTTCTTTTTGTAAGGAATATATTTTACGAGTAGTATGCAAAGGCTATACATCCAATAGTGTGGTAGGGGAAGATGATTTGGTTTCCCTAGTGTTAATATCTCAGGAATAAGAGAGATAGTAATAGATGCGAATCTCAGGAATAAGATAGTAATATATGTGAATCTCAGGAATAAGAGAGGTAGTGATATATGTGATATTTACCTGTAAGTATATTTCAAAGCCGTTGGCAAGATAACCAACGATAAAAGGGAGTGATGATGCAGTTAAAGCTCGTCATGAGCATGCCTTGCATTTTGAATATATTTCAAACAGAATTCTTTTTTATGTAAACATGAGCTTTCATGTTTTGTTGAGTTTATTCCGTTGATACATATACCAATTTACTTACTTGAAAGTTGATTTTGCCCGTTGAGTTGTGACACTTTGTTAAATTGCAGGATCCTTTTACCTTGCCACTCTGTAGCCCTTGTCGAGGAATGTACATACCATATGACCAAGTATTGCTAGAAGTTGATCTCTGGATAAAAAAGGAAGGGGATGGGTCAGCCGACCAAAAATTACTTTCCAAATACCTTGAGCTCGATGTCCGAACAGAAGGCGACGGGTTTATATATGGTTGTATCCCTGGGGACACTGTCAGCTTGGAAATAGACTGTGCGTACCTCACAAAGAGTGTTGAGGCAGTGATCGAGGTCTCTGCAGAGGTTAGCCGTCCTTGCCATGTGAGATTCGTCGCTTTCAGCAGTGGCTATGACGATGAGATTGTGCTCTTCAACGGAAAATTCACTGGGGAGAAGGTTTTCAAGCACGTTGTTGCTGTGAAGGCAGAGAGAGAACTGAAGGTTCAGTTAGAGGTGGAGGAATCAGTTTTCCAGTGGACTTTTCAGGGTGGAAATGCCGGACCTCTTAGCTCCCCCGATGACTCGACGTTGAAGTATGGCCAGTTTGATGTGGGGGTGTGTTTTTATCCATCGACGGGCTAAGTCAAACGTACCATAATCGGCTGAAAACAAGTGATGTGCTCTAATGTTTGTGTTTTAGGAGTTGAATTTAAGTAGCTGTTGGATTTCCTTTTGTGCCCTTGTGACAAAGAGGTCTGAAGTTTGGGTTTTAGCTTTTGTTTATGATCCAGATATGTTAAAACTGTAGCAGAAGTCTGAGATATGCATGACTCTGGCGTGGTCCTGAACTCCAGATATGTTAAGCTGAGGGAGATGTTTAAGGTCTGACTCGTGTGTTAAACTGCGAGGAGCCTGAAAATGTTGTATATCCTGTGTTGCTTGCCATTATTATTTTTCGAATCCTGCTATTTTCCCTTTAGTTCCGGTGCATCATCTCGTGATCATTCTGAAGTCAAGTCCACATCGAGCACAGCCAAAGCCGTACCTGATCATCCATCCATGACACCGCTTCCTTTGTGTCTTATGGCGCTCATCAGCCATCACCACTCTTCAGGTGGGAACCAAACCTCTGGAGACGAAGGCAACTATTCAAGATCAGTGATTTATGGTGTGGTTGTGTACCTCTCTGGTCGATCTATGGACGGCGATGAATTGAGGAAATGTGAGGACTTTTTATTGCGGGGAAGAGGACATCTGAGGACTTGAATCTTATCTCTGATGATGTCTGTGAGTAGTCTTCTTTTTTGGAAAAAAAAATCACGTTTTTCTTCTTATTTTTGTTTATACTTCCAAATATTCAAAATAATTATGTTACAATAAACACATAGCGTAAAACATTTCCAAAAAAATGTTAACCAAAGATTTAAATATGTTAAATGTGTATAAAGCAAATGTTAGATATAGCCAAAAATAAGTATAGAAAACAGTGAAACAAAGAGAAAACAAAAAAACCGATGAAATGAGAAAGAAGGAAACAGAACTAAAGAAAAAATATCTCAAAAATGTAGAAAAATGGGATTTCAAAGAAAACCGAAAAAAATCCATGAGTAAGCAAAGAAACCGCAGATCATGGCCCACGTCCTCCGAACCCGATCCCCACGACGCCAACAGAACCCTCGCGTGGCGAATACCTCGTCGGAGGACCTCCGACTTGGATCGGTGGAAATCAAGGGGCTCCCGGCGGGGCCTACCTCGACAGCGTCTGCGCGGACCTGTCCGACTTGGGATTGCCGTCGGACATGGGCCATGATCTGCGGGAGGAGGAGAAGACGGAGACCTGTGTCAAGAACGGCGGTGAGTATATCGTTCGTTCTAGTATATGCTACTTGTTAGATAATAACGAGAATAAACGAGACACAAGAGACACGGATTTTTACGTGGAAACCCTTGCGGGAGAAAACTACGGACGCACGAAGGCGCAACCACTATGAGGAGTATTACAAGCACGAGACGACAGGTCGTCTGAGGTGCGACTACATGGGGTATATAAGAGGGCAATACATGAGAGTCCTTGGAGGACAAGTAAACGAGTTATACTCGTACGCGTCGACGTCAACGCAAAGACCCACACCGGTTGTACTACGTCTAGTTCAACACGGTATAATTTGGATCACAATTTAACAATCTCCACCTTGATCCAAATTTCCTCAGTAGTCGAAGAAAGTGAATAACTCCATCCAAATCAGTATAAACACCTTGTGCGTCAAAATCCATAGGACTAGTGAGAAATACCAACTAAGCTTGAGCAAAGCTCAAACTTATTGGTCGAAACTGGCTTTGTCATCGTATCAGCTGGATTATCATGAGTACTTATCTTGCATACCTTCAAATCGCCTTCTGCAACAACATCTCGAATATAATGAAATCTAACATCAACGTGCTTTGTCCTCTCATGATACATTGAATTTTTTGTAATATATATGGCACTTTGACTGTCACTAAATGCGGTAGGGCAAGATGAATCTCCACAAAGCTCAGCGTACAAACCTCTCAACCAGATAGCTTCTTTGCATGCCTTAGAAATAGCCATATACTCGGCATCAGTAGTGGAACAAACCACAATAGACTGTACAGTTGCTCTCCGACTCACAGCACAACCACCAATGATGAAAACATAACCTGTGAGTGATCTTCTCTTATCCAAATCACCAGCAAAATCAGAATCAACAAAACCAACAAGTCCATCTCCAGTTTTCCCAAACTGTAAATAAGCATTAGAAGTACCACGCAGGTATCTGAAAATCCACTGAACTGCTTTCCAATGCTCTTTTCCAGGATTAGCCATGTATCTACTGACAACACTCAATGCATATGATAAGTCAGGACGAGAACAAACCATGGCATACATAAGTGAACCAACTGCACTCGAATAAGGAACTCTAAACATGTACTCAATATTTGCATCTGACTTAGGACATAAAGCTGATGATAATTTGAAGTGTGCAGCTAACAAAGTACTCATCGGCTTGGCATTATGCATATTAAAACGATGAAGAATTTTATCAATATATCCCTTCTGACTAAGATACACTTTTCCAGACAGTCTATCTCTGGATATTTCCATGCCAAGTATTTTCTTTGCTGCACCCAAATCCTTCATCTCAAATTCATTACTCAACTGATTCTTTAGTTCATCGATCTCTGACATACTCTTTACAGCAATAAGCATATCATCAACATAAATGAGTAAATAAATAGTTGAACCTTTGACAGTTTTCAAATAAACACAACTATCATAATCAGACCTTTTGAAACCTTGAGAGAGCATAAAGGTGTCAAATCTCTTGTACCACTATCTAGGGGATTGCTTCAATCCATAAAGAGATTTCTTTAACTTGTAGACAAATTTTTCTTTTCCAGGAATAACAAAACCTTTAGGTTGTTTCATATAAATATCCTCTTCTAATTCTCCATGTAAAAGTGCAGTTTTAACATCCAATTGTTCAAGCTCAAGATCATGCATGGCAACAATACTAAGTAAAGTGCGAATAGACCTATGCTTCACAACAGGAGAAAAGACTTCGTTATAGTCAATACCTGGAATCTGACTGTAACCTTTAGCAACTAACCTTGCTTTATATCTTGTCTCATCATTTGGAGAAACACCTTCTTTCCTTTTAAAAACCCACTTGCAACGAATATGTTTCTTCTCTCTAGGTAATTTTACTAAATCCCAAGTGCCATTCTTTCCAAGTGATTCCATCTCATCATGCATAGCGGTCATCCACTTATTACTATCACCAGAAATAATAGTCTCGAAATATGAAGAAGGCTCAGCATTACCTTCAATTTCTTCTGCAACAGATAAAGCAAAAGAAACAATATTGTACTCTTCAATTAACCTGTCAGGTTTATTAATACCCCGTCTAACTTTGTCACGTGCAAGATTCCAACTGAGTGGAACAATAGGCTGATTTGGAGTGAGAGTGACATGATCATCATTAACGACGGGTTCATCATGTGCATCAACAATTTTATTACGAGATGTATCACCTGAATCAATAACATGCTCCACCTGAACAGTAGGCTGCTGAATAGTAGGCTGTTGTTCACTCTCAACGGGAACATTAGTAGATGAAACATCATGTAACATAGTAGATTCGTTAAAGATAACATTTCTGCTAATAACAACCTTCTGGGTTTCAGGATTCCATAATTTAAAACCTTTAACACCAGACTTATAACCAAGAAAGATGCACTTAACAGCCCTAGGCTCCAATTTTCCATTATCAACATGAGCATAAGCAGTGCAACCAAAAACTCTCAACTGTGAATGGTCAGCAGGTGAACCAGACCATACCTCAATTGGAGTTTTCTTATTAAGAGCAACAGATGGTGAACGATTAATGAGATAACAAGCAGTGGAAGCGGCATCAGCCCAAAAACGCCTATGCAAACCTGCATTGGACAACATGCAACGAGCTCTGGAAATAATGGTCCTGTTCATGCGCTCAACAACACCGTTTTGTTGAGGAGTATAAGGAACGGTGTAATGTCTGACAATGCCTTCAGACTTGCAATAATTTTTAAATTGCTTAGAACAGAATTCCATACCATTATCAGTGCGAAGTATTTTTATCTTCTTTTCAGTTTGTCTCTCAATCATAATCTTCCACTCCTTAAAAGCTGAGAATGCTTCATATTTATGCTTCAAGAAATAAGGCTATACTTTTCTCGAATAATCATCAATAATAGTCAGCATGTAACTAGCACCACCTAGTGACTTTTTGCGAGATGATCCCCATAAATCAGAATGCACATAATCAAGAATACCTTCAGTTGTATGGGTCGAAGTATTGAACTTCACCCTCTTGTGTTTACCGAAGATACAATGCTCATAAAATTTCAATTTACCAGGTTCATATCCATCAAGAAGACCTCTCTTATTTAACTCTGCCAAACCAAGTTCATTCATATGTCCAAGACGCATATGCCAAAGGTTAGCAACATCACAATCAGAATTCTTTGAAATAACTGGAGTAGCGTTACCTGAAACGGTAGAACCTCGAAGGTAATAAAGACCATTGGTCGAACTTAAATCATCTTTCATCACAATAAGGGAACCTTTGGTGACTTTCAAAACACTATCTCCACCTGAATACTTGTATCCCTTTGCATCAAGGGCACTCATAGAAATAAGATTTCTCTTCATCTTCGGAATATACCGAACATCTGTCAAAGTTCTGATTATGCCATCAAACATCTTGATTCGAATAGAACATATGCCTTCAATCTTGCATGATGAATTATCAAAACCCAAAACGGAACCAGCAGCAGCAGTGGAATCAAAAGTATTAAACCAATCTCTATGTGGACACATATGAAAAGTGCATGCAGTGTCAAGTACCCACTCATCATTGGTCTCAGCACATCCAGCAATAACGACAAGAGCATCATCGGAACTATCATCACGAGCAACGTTAGCAGAATTTTCACCTTGTTTGTTACCTTTCCTTTTTTCCTTGTTCTGCAACTTGAAACACTCACAGATGTCATGCTCGTCTCTCTTGCAATACCTGCAATACTTCTTGTCTCTGGATTGCGACTGGCCCCTGTAGCCGTTCTTACTTTTGCCTCTGTTT